AAGCGGAAACGGGCAAGTTTAAAACAATTACAGTCTCTTTGTGGAAAACTAAACTGGGCGTGCCAAATGATCAAGGGGGGGGGGGGTGCGCATATTCCTTAGACGTCTAATAGACATTGCCGTCACTGTCAAACGAAGAGGAAAAGTAAAATTATCTGCCGAATTTCACTTAGACATTACCTGGTTGATAAATTTTATGAGTGTTTTCTCCGGAACAGTAAAATTTCTCGATACCAAAACTACCACCTCATTACAAACTGATGCATCCTCTGGAGGGGGTGCCGGTGTTTACAACGGTGATTTTTTTTTATGTGAATTGGGCAATTGATTTACCCTGTGTCGAACATGAGCATATAAATGTTAAAAAGACTGTTGCAGTTCTTTTATCAACCATGCGATGGTGTCCATTTTGGACTAACAAAACGGTTATTGTGTTTACCGATAACATGACTACCAAATGTGTTATTAATAAAGGGTCTTCACACAACAAATTTTTAATGGTGTGCTTACGTATATTGTTTTGAATATCGACAATTTATAACTTCGATATTAAAGCGGTTCATGTTTTAGGCGGTCGCAATTTGATTGTGATGCTGCTTCCCGGCTCCATGAACCGGGACAGCTCTCAAAGTTATTTCATTATTTACCATGTTATGCTTATTACTTTAGAACTGTTGAGCTACTTAACCATGTCTCTTGTCACTTCTACTTTTCTAGGTGGTGTAAACCTGGAAGATTCGGTACTGCGACTCCAAAAACTGGGGTGGGCTAAATCTACTGTTACTACATACAGTAGAATCTGCATTAAGCAGCCACCCAAGGGAATTTTCACAACTGACCGCTTAACGGGAGTGGCCTCTTAATAAAATCTCGTTGCTTTTTGTGCCGACATAAATTAAAGGTCACCGGAAAAGGTTCATAAATTTTTTAAATAATGCAAGTAATTATGTCAACATATCCTTTCCATAAGTATAACACGAACCCGAATGTCAATATTACCTGCAACAGGTAAATTTCAACGTTAGCAATTTCCGCCATTCTCCGTGGGTAGTCGTAACTTTCCGTAAATTTGACGTCATTTTAGTCCTTCTGCTCATATTCTTGTCTATATTTCTATGTGCAGAAGGACTAAAATGACGTCACGGATTGATTATTAACGGAAAGTTCCGACTACCGACGGAGAACGGCGGAAATTACTAATGTTGAAATTTACCTGTTGCAGGTATTATTGACGTTCGGGCTCGGGTTATACTTATGGAAAGGATATGTTGACATAATTACTTGCATTATTTAAAAAAAAAATTGATGCTTTTCCGGTGACCTTTAAATATCACGCTTGGATGCATTGGAAGCGGTAAATTTGGCCGTCGCTGAATCTTGCGCCGAACGAAAATTCTTTACTCAAATCTCGGATATAACTTAACGGGAGTGGCCTCTTAATAAAATCTCGTTGCTTTTTGTGCCGACATAAATTAAATATTACGCTTGGATGCATTGGAAGCGGTAAATTTGGCCGTCGCTGAATCTTGCGCCGGACGAAAATTCTTTACTCAAATCTCGGACATAACTTCTGTAAACTTGTCATTTTGTACCAACCTTCGATACTACTGTCTACCATTGTGATGCATTCGATAATATTTATCCATTTTTGTGAAGAAAATCGATGAATTCATTTTATTTTATGAAAAAAGCACATGAACAAAAAACATCGCTAATTTTATCACCTATTTACAGGGGGTGTAACTCTGTATGTAATATTATCGGAGGCGCTAAGAGAGATACTAGATGATCGTGACAAAACTCGGTACTTTTATTTTATTCAATCAGTATCAAATAATGTGTCGTTCGTGAAAACAATGATCAGGTTAGTCGTTTAATAAAACAAAAGATTAATTAACAGATAATCCCGGGTTGATTGTTATGTTTACATTTCTTTTTACCTGATCAGTGGGGGTCCAGTTAATTAACTACTACTCACGGGATTAGCGGGGGTGTTACAAAGAACGACAAGATGGTATCATTCAACAATGGCCGTTGAATGGGCGATGTTTTGTTGAATTTATTGGGGGAATTTATCGTGACCGCTTACAAGGAGATGTCGCTGAATAGGAGTGGCTGCTCATACAGATTCTACTGTATAATACCCATCTCAAGTGTTATATAGAATTTTGTCCAAGAATGAAATCAACATACTATTGAATTGTTTATCACGTATTTAGTTGATGTTAAACAATTTAAGTTTAGTACTATAATTTCTTATATAAATATTATTTCGATACTGCATAAGTCCAATAATCTCGCCGACCCTTTAACTAGTTGGTCCATAAAACACCTTCTAACAGGTGTCAAAAGAGCACTGGGTACAGCTCAAAGTTGCAAAGCCCCGATTACACCCGATTTATTGCTACGTATTCATCGTGTTTTGGGAAAATCGTTTAATAACAGTATTTTCTGGGCTGCTTGTCTTTTAGGATTTTTTGGATTCTTGCGGCCTAACAATTTCTTGGTCAAAACACGCTTTGACCCAATTTTTCACATCCAACGCAAGGATGTAACATTGTTATCATGGGGATTCATTGTGCGCCTTAAAATCACAAAAACCTTGCAATTTCGAGCCAAGTCAGTCATCATTTGTTTACCATAACTTCGCAACCATCCCCTCGATCCCTGTTCTGCGCTTCAGGTGATGGCAGATGTCTTGCCTATCGCTCTTTCCTGAAGGCACTTCGTACTACACTTCACGCATTGGGTTTACCGCCATCTTCCTATGGTGGACATTCCTTCCGAAGGGGTGCTGCCACTTGGGCTAGTTTTTGGTCAAGTAATTGTTATCAACGTTGATACAAATTATTCCTCGCTTCTCCGCGCGCTTCATACCTTCACATCCCATTTCCCTTCTTCTTAATCTTAAAGGACAATATTGGTGGCAGTCATTATAAAATATGTGATAGAGCTCGTTAAATACATCCCAAATATAATTTTAACACAGAGATCATTGCTACGTGAGATGTGTAACAAGCACGTGAAGAAACGGGAAGTGACGTCAAACATGAGTTGTCCTTCTATATAGCTGACTGAAGTAACGAGCGGTAACAGACAAACGATCGAATTTCATTTCACTGATAATTCCGCTGAAGATGAAAAGTTGTTATGTGAGACGATGAGAGGATATCTGACAATTCAAAAAAAAAGAATTGGCTGTCAGTAGATAAAAGATAACGAACAAATTAGAAAAAGTCCGTGCATTACCATGTTTTTACTAAGAACAGAATGAATAAAAACGGGGGAATGCACGGGATTTTTCTACTTTTTCTCGTGTCCCTTATCTAGTGACAGCCAATTCTATTTTTGAATTGTGCGATACCCTCTTACCGTCCCATATAATAACTTTTCAACTCCAACGGAATTATAAGTAAAATGAAATTCGATCGTTTGTCTGTTACCGCTCGTTACTTCAGTCTGCTATATAGAAGGACAACTCGTGTTTGTCATGTTTGGCGTCACTTCCCGTTTCTTCACGTGCTTGTTACAAGTCTCCCGTAGCAATGATCTCTGTGTTAAAATTATATTTGGAATGTATTTAACCCAGTTCTATCACATATGTAATAATGACTGACACCAATATTGTCCTTTAATACAACGTCTTGGGGTTTGGGAGTTTTATTTTGTAAATAATTTTTGACATTGTATTACTTTGTTGTAATTTGTTTTGATTTAAAATGATTAAAATGTTTGCCATCCCGCTGCTGCTTTTATTATTGGTGAAGTCAAGTAAATTACAGATTTATTTGTAAATCATATTTTAGGTGACGTAACCGTTCAACGACCTTAACGTTTGACATTGCCTCGCTTTAAACTTCCGCCTTTTTAATTATGCTAACGCCATGCTCCTGTGTTTTTTAATTTGTGCTATGTAAAAATCCCTACCTCCCACCCTCCCGGTAGTATTACTGTGGGTAGGTGCTTGTTTTTTAACTGCTACTTCCGAACCTGGTGAGGGAGTTTTATTTTGCAAATAATTGTTTGACATTGTATTACTTTGTTGTAATTTGTTTTGATTTAAAATGATTAAAATGTTTGCCATCCCGCTGCTGCTTTTATTATTGGTGAAGTCAAGTAAATTACTGGTTTATTTTTTTTTAGGCTACAGGCTACTGAAATTACTAACTATTATATTAGTATTACAGAGCTGAATTGAGTCAATATTTTACTATGAAAAAAAATGTCCAACTCTTTATTACTATAGTAAAACTATAGAAATATAAAGCCACGGTATGAATTAAAAAAAATGATAAACTGGGCTTGTTGACAAGGCCCTGAAGTTCACCATTCCCATGCCTTTTGTTTACATTGGTTTTCGCTGATTCTGTTCTACGCTTTGACGTTACAACCACCACCGGATGCCAGACGCCGTTCTCCACCAATTTAGCGTCTGCGCGCGGTCTAGTTAGTATAGCACTCGGCAAACCTCAACAGATTCCAGTACCGGAATCTGCCGAGTGGTTAGTATAGACGTCATTGGCATCTCCCAGTATTCTTACATTCGGCAAACCTCGACAGATTCTACGCATCTAACAAACCTCGGCAGATTCCGGTACCCTACATCTAACCTCGGCTGTGTGATAGTAATTGATATGTACCTACGCCTATACATTTGCGATGCGGCTACCGGTTTACTTTAACAGGAAAACGTGCCGCTTTTACAAAAAAGTCCCAATATGGCGTCTTTTGTCGAGTGTATTTTACTAAACGAGCAGAGATATTGTCTCAAGGCTGCTGGTTTGATATAATTCCCTGGTAATTCCCCAAACCCAATGCCAAACTTGACGTTTGTTGATATAATACACTCTCCACAGAAATCTCCATGGGCGCAGCCATTTTTCATCCGGGACCTTTAAAATAGTTCCAATATGGCGGAATTCGTCATACAGCCGAGATTAGATGCGTAGAATCTGTCGAGGTTTGCGTACCGGAATCTGCCGAGGTTTGCCGAGTGAGTATTCTTAGTGAAGGATGAGAAAGTGACGGCTGACTTGATCTCGGCAGATAGAGAGTCATCTGGAAATGGTGGTGAGCTCTAAATGCCGTGCCGGAAGGAAGTTCAGAAAAAAATACGGTCATTAATTTTCCGTCTGAACCTTAAGTCTTATCCAAACATTTTAGCAATGTCAACCAAGAGAGATTAGGCTATTTATTTGTTATGTCGGATGAATTGATTTAGATAGTTTTATTTTTTAAAAGCTGATGATAATAGAGTCTATATTCTGGCTTGAACAGCCAGATAGAAGGTGAGTAAAACTAAAATTACCGGTACGGTAGGCTAACTAAACCATGATGAACTTTAATGAAGGTTGAATTCGAATTTCGGGTAGGCCTAAATCGAATCGAAACTGCCTGACAAAAATGGCCGCTCATTGTTCGCAGGTTGTGTAAAAGTATGTAATGCGAAGGTTGTGGACCCTCTAGAGGTCACAATTGATGAACTGACGCCAGCGATTTTTCGTTTCTACCAGGTCGGATGTAGGGGGAATTTCGTCCTTAACCTCGACTTGTGTATTGTTTTATGATATATTCATGAATGACTAATGGCTTATTAGTTAATGCTAGGTTCCCAGTATCACGATTGAAATCATGGTTTTAAATTTGATCATGGTGATCCTATCAGATCAGATCTTATCATTTGAGGTCAGTCGTAGCAATCGTGTTGATCGTATCGAAACCTATCCGAATGTATCATGTACGGTACTACTGTCTGGTTAGAACTTGAAATTGTCATCCTTTATACCGCACATTAATTAATTTCAGATCAAGCTATAATCTATATATTTATAACCCCTCTGTCTTGAAAAATCATTGTTTATTTACTTCGCGGTATTGAAGACAGCCATGCTTGTCCTAGTTATTTGGAATAAACCAAATCGAACAGGGGTGTGGATTTGACTTCCAAGGGGTCATTTCGTCCTACTTGCATGTTTAAATAGTTGTTTCGGCCCAGTAGAATATAAGTTGCTTTAAATAATGAGCTATTTACGAGAGGTAATATAAATTTGCTATTTGGTTTCAGACCAGTTTTTTACTCCACTGCCTTAGATATTAAATTGCCGGCCCAAGTCCGGGTGCTTTTTGAAATTGATATAAACTACATACAAAGTTTGACCCAATATTGTAGTGACATGTCATGGAAATTTGGAAGTAGGCTAAATGACAATTCAAACCAATTGTCTATCTGGCTTTAGGATAATAATAGATACATAACTGTCGATTTTATTTGGCTGTGTACGACTTTTAATACTATTTTCAGAGCGCCAAATTGTGGTCTTGTGGCACTTTTTCTTTTTTAAAAGTTTTAATATTCCAATTGAAAAATGGCGCTCCTAAGATATTTTTATAGATAGCCTACTCTATTTCCTGTTTGATTTAGTTTTTTTTTTGTCCCCCACCTTTCGAAGAAAGCAGGAGACTATTAAAATGGGTTCGTCTGTCTGTCTGTCCGCCCATCACACTTTTTGGGACACAATAACTCTTCTTCTAATTGACCTAGAATGTTCAAACTTGGTGTAGGTGTTTATTAGGTCAATGCCTTGATGGAGTTCGAAGATGAGCAGGAGACTATTAAAATGGGTTCGTCTGTCTGTCCGCCCATCACACTTTTTGGGACACAATAACTCTTCTTCTAATTGACCTAGAATGTTCAAACTTGGTGTAGGTGTTTATTAGGTCAATGCCTTGATGGAGTTCGAAGATGAGCATTTTCTGCTTAGTGTAAGCAGAGATAAGCAATTTGATTGGTTGATGCTTTGGGACACGATAACTTTAGTTCTAATTAAGTGAGAGGGATGAAACTTGGTGTATAGTTTCATTACATCAATACCTTGACTAAGTTCGATAATGAGCATTTTCTGCTCAGGGTAAGCAGAGCGATAAGCAATTTGATTGGCCAAGACTTTGGAACACAATAACTCTCCTTTTAATTGAGCTAGAATGTACAAACTTGGTGTAGGTGTTTATGAGGTCAATGCCTTGATAGAGTGCGAAGATGAGCATTTTCTGCTTAGGGTAAGCAGAGATAAGCAATTTGATTGGTTGATGCTTTGGGACACGATAACTTTAGTTCTAATTAAGTGAGAGTGATGAAACTTGGTGTATAGTTTCATTACATCAATACCATGACTAAGTTCGATGATGAGAATTTTCTGCTTAGGCTAAGGAGCAATAAGCATTTTCATTGGTCAAGACTTTGGAACGTAACAACTCTGCTTCTTATTGAGGTAGTATGTTTAAACTTGATGGTGATGTTCGTCTTGACTGATTCAATGATTAACATATTGAGCTAAAGCTAAGCAGAGATGAGCAATTTCCTTGGTCGATGCTTTGGGACAAGATAACTTTGATTTTATCTGATAGAAAGTGATGAAACTTAGTGTATAGTTGATGTTCGATTAATTAATATGTGTCATCTATTTATTTGGGGATTTCGGCAGGGGACATCAGCCTCACTGTTGGCTTTTTTATTTTGTGAAATGCCGCTAAGCAAGTGATAGTATGACAGAAAACGGAACGGGGTAGTAGCCACACAAGGTCAACTCCTGATAGATCAAAGGCACGTAATTGTGTTTTTGTGTTCAGACCACGGGTGGTTCTTTTTTACATTTAATTTATTCATATTGATTCATCTTGAACTTAATTCAATTTCTGCAAGTCTACTGTTTAAACAAGAAAACGGAAAATAAAGTGTTTTATACAAATCATTTATTTACAGAAATTCACAGAAAATGCCCTGACTATATACAATATATATACTATTCAAAAAAAGTAGGGGATATTTGATTTTGGGGGCATAATACTAAAATATGCAAATGACTACGAAAAAAGTCACTATAGAACCTAACAGAAGAAACATTTCCAGTTACATGTGACGCCCAAACGCACCAATAGCTACCGCATGGAATGCAGGTGATGCTTGGGATCATCATGGGGGTCCAACCCAAGATTTGCACGACTCTGACTTTGAATGTTACAGTCATTGTGGCATTGAATTCCAGGGTGGAAACATCAGTTTAATTGTTTTAGTGACCAGAAAACAAATTTTGATATGCGTCGGCTTACCCAAAATGAAAGGTTACGTGCCCTTGGCATGCTACAGATCGGCACAACACAGGCGGTTGTGGCGCAGACGATGAATGTTTCTCAGTCTGTCATAAGCAGGCTATAGTCCAGATACCGTGATACACAATCTGTACAGGACAGACCACGCTCAGGTCGACCAAGGGCGACAACTCAAGCCCAGGATCGATTTATCCGTACCTTGGCCTTGAGAAATCGTGTCATCACAGCAAATCAGATCAGCGCTCGTCTTCAAACAGACACTGGTGTGAGAGTGAGTGGCCAGACGATTCGGAATCGACTGCATAGAGGTCACCTTCGCGCCCGACGTCCTCGCGTGATCCCTTGTTTGAGAGATCATCACATTCAGGCAAGACGTCGTTGGTGTAGGGATCGTCAACACTGGGATAATCGACGCTGGAGCAATGTGATGTTTTCAGATGAGTCAAGGTTCACTGTTGATTTTTTGGACAGACGTAGGAGGGTGTGGCGTCGTCGAAACGAGCGCTTCCAAGACGTTAACGTCATCAGACATGATCGATTTGGGGGTGGTTCTGTTATGGTGTGGGGAGGCATCACTGTTGCTGGAAGAACGGCTTTACATGTTGTTGCAGGGCGTGTTACAGGCCAGTACTACCGGGACAACATCTTGGCAGTCCATGTTGTGCCGTTCGCACGACGTCATGGCCGCCGTTTCATCTTCCAGGATGACAACGCAAGATGTCACAGGGCCAGGATCGTTACAGGTTACCTCCAACAACAGAACATTACCACATTACCTTGGCCAGCACTGAGTCCCGACCTCTCCCCCATTGAGCATGTCTGGGACATGCTTGGACAGAGGTTACGTCAACGTCAACAACGTCCTGCCAATGTCCAAGAACTTGCTGCTGCGTTGCAACAGGAATGGGACAATCTGGACCAAAATGACCTTAGACGTCTCATTAGGAGTATGCCACGTCGGATCAATGCTTGTTTGGCAAACAGAGGAGGATTTACCCGTTACTGACTTGGTTGTGATGCTGTGGTGACTTTGCTGTTTGACCCCGGGTATCATTTTACCCTTATAATGGTCAGTCTGTGCCTTACTTAGTCTAACGATCATTTGGAATAAATCGATGAATGTGAACTTCATTTCATTTTGTCATTTGTTTCTTCGTCAGTTTCATTAGGTGACTTTAATAACACTTAAAAATCAAATATCCCCTACTTTTTTTGAATAGTATATTACAGAAGTTGTCTGGCCTACATTCACGCTATCTATCATACAATTTACGCACACAATCTACACACTTCACCACACTTGCGCTTACATCAAACTCTTTCCCAGTACTTTCACATGCATCCACCTTTCACACAAATCACAGCCCACCCAGTCCACCACCCGATTCACTTCCCGGTGGGTTCTCACAATCATACACGATACACTACACACGTTTATATCATCATCACTCGAATCTTCATTCGCAACACCACCGACATCAGGAACATTTTCACTATCACTCTCTCCACTGACATTGTTGCCCAAATCCTCACAATTATACTTGCTGTCACTCCCGAACGAAATCACGACTGGTGGTACTTCCTCATTCAATCTTCCCGCTTTTCTTGTGCTTAAATGAAAGTATTTTTGATTTAATGTGGAGACACTTTAAAGTAGCTAAGTCTCTAACTCAATATCATCCAAAATCTTCAACATTGAAAACACAAATTATTTGTCAATTTAAATCAACATTGATGCTGTGATCTTACCGGAAAAAGATGTGGCTTCTGATAGCCAATATTTAAGACAAAATAAACATTTTTACCATTGGTACATGAATCTTGTACCATAATGCGTTTCCGCCTCAGTTCTAGCAAGAGACTTGAGGAACGAGGCTAGACATATCGTACCAAACCAAACGGCATATGTAGACTTGAATAACCAGGCGCTAACTGATTTGAAATTAGAGTAAAAACGGAAACCATTGAATGTATATCAGTTTATATACATTCACATTACAGTATTATATGAGTTGCGACCCAATTGTGTCAATTTCTAGGTCCCAAATGTTAGCGATTTAGCTCCTTTAAAATGTTATAAGGTGTAGTAAAAACTTTCATAAATGAATGTTTTATCCCTTTTTAACATCACAGATAAGAAAATATTTATTATCTTTCAATGCCGTCAACTTGACTGCCGTCC